GGAGCGCACCAGAATTGTGAGATTGACTTTGACGGTACTGGGGGAGACGTTGCCCATTCATGGTACACGGGCAACATGCACTTCGATGACGATGAGAACTTTAAAGCGATTTATTCACCAGTAACGAGTGGCATTTACCTTCTACGGGTGGCCGTGCACGAGATCGGACACGTGCTCGGATTAAATCACACGGACAAGGTGTACTCTATCATGTACGCAATTTACCACAGCCGGAGACTACAGCGTGATGAGTTCGAACTCGGATGGGAAGATCGCAAGGATATCCAGAAAATTTACGGTCAGTAGTTTATTTATATCTCTATCTATAAAAGGTAGGATGTGTGTGTGTGTGTGTAACAAATGCACGGCCGCAATTTTCGACGGATTTGCACCAAAATTTACATGCACATGCTCCAAGTTAGCGGGAAGGCCAAGACCGACTTTGCATTTCCCAACTCCCATCGATAGTGGAAATAATCGATTTTTTCATGCTTGTGGCCATTTTTTATTGGCCAGCGTGAGTGCTAACAGCTGACTGATACGAATGTTAACTAGCATGCTAGCATGCAAAAAAAAAAAAATCGATAGCTGCATTCGTCACAAGTAGGAAAAATTTAAATCTGCATGGCACTTTACTCCAATTGGCTCATTCGCTTGCTTAAACTCAACGTTGATTCTGATTCCGCAGAACTGGGTTGGGTGTGAAAAAGTATTTGTTGTTAACATTCTTTTTTCATTTGGTTTTTCCAGTTACGAGTCCTTTTTTAAAGTTGATCGTTTTGTGTTCATTTTGTTTAGTTCTTTTTTCGTAACAGATTTAATGTTTAGTATAGAGCTTTGAAAACATTCGCAGTGTGAGATAGGCAAGAAGTAAGGCATGTAGCAACATCAGTACGGCAAAGGGAACTCCTTTAAAGGCAAGGAAGAGCAAAAATATTTTAAGTCAAGTGATAGCGATTGCTGTATGAGTCGTACGATTTTTGAATCAAGCACGGGCAACGCCGGGCCATGCTGCTAGTCTATAATAAAGAGCGTTCGTCTGTCTGTGTGTCTAAGTGCGCGTCCGCCTTAAACTTCAAAACGACAGTATTTAGACGCTTGAAAATCACATATATATTCTGATTTCGATTCCGGCATATTCTAAAGGAAATTTTGACAAACAATTTATTATTATTTATTATCTTTATTCTACCCACCCAGCGTCTTTTGAACGTTTATCTTTTGTTTCCGGTTTAGGATTGGGACTTCCGTTTCCTTCTGAAGTCTAATTCAACTCTATATTTCTAACGTAAAAGGAGTAGATAGGTTCGCCTAGCGTCCAGTTCACACTCCTCCCCAGTCTTTTGAACAAGAGTAGAGGCGTATCTTTTGTTTCCGGTCTAGGTCTGAACTTCCGGTTCCTTCTAAAGTCTACTTTAACTCTATACTTCTAACGTCTCCGCCTGAACCATGGGAGTTTATTTATTATTTATTTAATTTTTCCTTCAATAAGTTTCGCCTGTTGTCCGGTTCGCACACCTTCTTTGTCTTTTAAGCAGGGAGGATAGATGCTTATACATTGTTTTCTGTTTAAGATGGGATTTCCAGTTCCTTCTAAAGTTTTCTCATTCTCTTTCACTCCCAGTAGGAACCTCCCCGCTTTCGTCTTAGTCGTATTATGAAGATAATTCTTCGTTAAAATACACGCAATCGTTAGCATAAGAAAACGTATAGAAATTACGGTGATATTTTGGCCTGACTGATTTAATCCCAAGCAATTATATTTTAAATAAACAGCGAAAAAGTTAATGAACGAATTGAGTTGAACTGAATTATATTCATTTGCATCTATTTGACGCTTGCTTCTCAATTCTATTATGTTTCCAACGAAGTGTAAACTCCAAGGTTTTGTAGATATCTGTGCTGATGATACAACAGTTCAGCTCCCAAATTCAAGATGATCATCGGATCTTTCTTCTGACCCAGTAACAGTTCAATGCGGTAAAAAAAAAACGACTTGAAAAACCAAATTCTGTGGGAGCCCCCTAACTTGAAAACCTATGGGGACTTAGGCTCAAACCAGATCTCAAAGGGGAACTCGTACGTACAATCCATCGATAAAATTGCCGGATTTTAGATTGCTTCTCCCGGATGTTTCTTTAAATCAACTCTCCAAGTTTCGGTTCACAATTTTTTACCAATACTCATATTACAATTTTTCCGTTCTTATTATAGCTTTTTTTTTTTTTACCAGAGCTCATATTGCAATTTTTTGTTATTATTCATTGCTTTTTTTCTAGCACTCCTTATTACTGGTTCCCATATTGTATTCATTTCTATGCTTGGAGAATTTTGTGGTCTATCATATGTGCTGATTCTTTAAGTTTTCGTATTTTCCACTGATGTTCTCTGTCTATTATTTGAAACTCATCTCACAGGGGGCGGTGATCACCATTTTTCCCTCCATATGTGGTAATCTACGCCTGATTTTTCTATTTTCCCTTGTGTTACCGCTATAAGATGTACTTGCAGTCTTACCTTACGTTGTGAATATGGCAATGAAGATGAGAATAACACCTGAATAATGTAAATAAAGTGAGTAATCACAATGCCTCATATCTGTAAAACATAATTGAAAAAAAAAAAATGATACGAGCGCCTTTTTACTTAATTTTTCAGTACTCAGTAATTTTAAAATTTTAGGAAAATATTTTTTGAATTTCCGAAATTTACTGATTAAATTTACTATAGTTATCGCTCTTATTTTCTGATAATGTTGTTTATGGCTGCCTGTACTTACAAAACTCAGCACGTTTATACACATGCAAAAAGAAAAAGTAAAATAACTTTTAAAATACTGGTGTTTGATGATTTGTATAAGGCTTTTCCGTTTATGATTAGTAAATATAATTTTCACTTAAAAATAATATCATCTAAAATTTTAAACAATTTTCTAATTAAAAGGAAAAAAATGAAAACAATTCTTGTAAAAATTCATTATTCACCGAAAAAAATGTTTTTCTTAAGACAATAATGTCCTTAATATATTTTATTTATAAAAGAAATTTTAATTTTATGATTCAGAACAGATTTTTGGTAAATTGTGTTTCTGATTGACAAAAAGAAAATAATGATTTAAATTTTCCAAGGAATTCTGCATTTAACTAATATAAATACGAATTATATAATTGGGGGTAATAGATTTAAAAAAATATTTTTACCAAGATTTTCTAAAAAGAAAATTTCAAAAATAATTTCATTCATTTGTGAATAAGTCCTGAAAATTGAATTAAAATCTGACAATTATTTGATTTTTAAAAGAATTTCCAGAAGAATGTTTTTTTTTTCCAAAAGAATTTTTTTTTTCGTCAAAAGAATGTATTTTTTTCCTGTCGCAAAAAGACGCTAAAATTCCCCTAGTAATCTTTGGTCCACCCGCTGACCCAAGTAAAACCAAAATCTCCAACGTGCTAGGAAGGATTAAAAAAATTAATAAAATAATCGAAAAATACTTTGAACTTTCCTCTTAATAATAACAGAAATATATTGACTATTTTAATAATATAACTCTACCTGACGCGTCTCTCATGCCTTGTAAAGAATGAAATTTAGTATAAAAAATCTACATAGATACTTGTTTTGGGAGGTTTCTCTCCCTGTTTCTGTTTTTTGAATAATGGTTAATTAATTTAGTAAGTCGTAACCAATCGCTCAGGGGTGAGTTATTATCAATAACTATATATCCGAATTTGAAAATTTCAGCTGATTCATGCATAATGCTTTTATCGGTAATCATCGACGAGATTTTCTACGGGAACTCAATGAGAACGTCATCTTGGGCCTAGCACAGATTAATGGAGGCAAATTAATAATCTTGTTGATCTTTCTGGTACAGAAAATCGCTTTATCAGTTAATCCGAAAAGAAAAAGAAAATAAATCTTTCGCCATGATGGCGACAATAATTATCAATAATTATCAGGACTAACCTTCTAAATTTAAACTTAATTTCTGACAGGTAAGTGCGGGGCTATATATATATATATATATATATATATATATATATATATATATATATATATATATATATATATTCCCACCGTACGCAAATGTTAGGATCGATAAGATACGCTAAATCGTTCTAAGCTCGGCTATTTTTTATTCAGTACACCTTCCCCGGGCAATTGAAGGAAAAGGTCTCGTGATGTACAGGTCTCCAGAATATATATCGATAGCAAAATACCTATCGGACAATAATCATTCTGTTTCAGACCAGATATACGTCATTTATATCAATTCATGGAGATTTTTTAGATATTAAAGACATATACGCCGACATTGGAAGAAATATTTGACAACCTAATATATATATATATATATATATATATATATATATATATATATATATATATTGATAATATATATATATATATATATATATATATATATATATATATATATATATATATATATATATATATATATATATATATATATATATATATATATATATATATGTGTGTGTGTATACATTTCCAAGAGGATTGAATCAAGGTAGAACTTAATATCCAAGACAGAGTAAGAATATAATATAAAGACTCAAACACTAATATTCCATATTATAATTTATTACATTGGAATCGTAATCACGATCAAATCATCAGACCTAGAAATTCAAAAGCTTTTTGAATTTGTAGGTTGATGAATTGGATCGTGATTATGATTCCAATGTAATAAACTATGACCATGGAGTACTAGTGTTTAAGACTTTTTATTATATATATATATATATATATATATATATATATATATATATATATATAGTACAATAGAAACTTAACCTCTCCATATCGACAAATAAAATTCCAATTATTCGATAGATAGATAGATATGAACACGAGAGACGTATATATATATATATATATATATATATATATATATATATATATATATATATATATATATATATATATAGCCCGCACCTACAAGTCATAAATTAAGTTTATTATTGCCATTATGAGCACTACAGACGCGGATAGATAGATAGATAGATAGATAGATAGATAGATAGATAGATAGATAGATAGTCCCAAATGATCAATAAATATGTCAGCCAGCCTTCAAGATTCAGACGTGAGTGTGTTGTCAAGATGATCTTTTCGTCTCCAATGTTGCTATTTTCAAAGAATATCACGAACGTGATGAATTTCTGTCAGCCAGGGAGAAAAGGAAATAGTTTTGAGGATGGAAGGTTTGCACGACTCTCTGAAAGAGGCCTTTAAAGAAAATCTATCGGTCATTGGAAAAGGACGTGGGAATGAAGAAAGAAAGGCAGCAAGGAAAGAAAGAAAAGAAGAAAGAAAAGAATTTAAAAAGGAAAGGAACGAAGGAAGAAAGAAAGAAAGGAAGAGAGGAAGAACGAAAGAATGAAAGAAAGAACGGAAAGGAAGAAAGAAAGACAGAAAAAAGAAAGAAAAAAGAAAGAAAGAAGGAAGGAAAGTAGGAAAGAAATAAAGGAAGATTGAAAGAAAGACAAAAAAGAAAGAAAGAAAGGATTGAAAGAAAGACAAAAAAGAAAGGAAGGAAGAAAGAAATAAAGAAGACAGGAAAGAATGAAAGACAAGAAAGAAAGAAAGAAAGAAAGAAAAAATAAAGGAATAAAGGAGGAAGGAAGAAAGAAAGAAAGAAAGAAAGAAAGAAAGAAAGAAGAAAGTAGTCATACAAGTGAAATAGAAGACTATAAGATATGAACGTCAGAATGACATACGAAAGACTCTTGAACGCAACAAGTATTTTAAAGAGAAGAAAGAAAGAAAGTATAAGTAAAAAAAGAAAGAAAGAATAAAGAAAGAAAGAAAAAGAAAGGAAAAAAGAAATAAAAAATAAAGGCGACATGGAAGAAAGGAAAATACGAAAAAATGTGAGGAGTTTTGAGGAATTGAAAGAAAGGTTTGAATGAAAGAAGGAATAAAGGTCAGATTAGAAGAAAAAATATAAACGAAGCAAATATTTTCGACCTGAAGGAAAAATGAAGTGAAGGCCGAAAAACAGGAAAGGTCGAACTTCAGAAAGAAAGAAGTGAAGTCCCGGAATAAATGGATAAAAAGAGTTCTGCTAGAAGCAAGTAAAACTCGTGATTTATTAATATTGGGCCCAAAGATGGAAATTAGAATATTTGGAGGCCAGTGTTAAAGTGTCAGTCATAAGAATAAAGGAAAAACAAATGGAGGGAAAGATTCGTGTAGAGGCCATTTTGTTTACTTTTTGCGAAATGCTTTGCATGTAGCGAAATTGAAGATGAAAAACCAAGGAGAAAAGTACAGGTCGAGTCCAGAAAGAGAGTGGTAGGTACTGGGGTGGTGGGGGTAGGGGTAGACATGGCAAAGCGAAAAAGGTAAAGTAGGGGGGGGTGAAAAGAGAGAGAGGTGTGAGAGAAATTGAGGAGAGAGAGGTAGAGGGAGATATAGGAGAGAGAGAGAGGTGGGTGTAAAGATAAAAGAGGAGTAGGGAGAGGCAGGAAAGAGAAAGAGAAAAGTGTGGAGATAGAGATGGGAGAGTGGGGAGAGAGATGAGAAAAGAGAGAGGTTTAGAATTAAGAGACAGAGTCTGGGATGCAAAATATAGGCGTGTCCAATTATTAAATTAAGTTTTGAACCGTTGTATCTTAGAAATGATTAAAGATATCTTAGTGGATTTTTATAACGCTATTGGAGTCTACTTTGAGCCATAAAAATGTATTTAGCTCTAAGTTGAAATGATGATCCCTCTTGCTGTTGAGACCTCCTGGTCCAGTTTTCCTCTCTACTGATCCCTCTTTTTTAAACTTATTCACCATTCTCTTGATGGTTCTTGAATAGATTTTGAAAATGGAAGCCAGATTATGAATGCCGGCACCATCATTGAAGGCCTGAATGATCTTTTTCCTCTCACCATTGCTCATTTGGGAAGACAGTGGGTCCGACATAAGATGATTTTAACCTGTCCTCTTTCTAGCTGAATAACTCAAAGGGTTTTTCAGTGATTCTTACGACAAATGGTGTCAAGATGGCTAAACGTCTTATCAGAAAACTCGGAAAAACATAATTACTTTAGTGTTTTTTTGACATTAAATATTTTGTGGAATGGACAATTATCCCATGGTGTTACACGATTTGGACAATTTTGCCCTTACATCCGGTATACATACATATCTATATATATATATATATATATATATATATATATATATATATATATATATATATAATAAAAAGGCTTAAACACTAATATTCCATGGTCATAATTTATTCCATTGGAATCGTAAATACGATCCAAATCATCAGACCTACAAATTCAAAATGAAAACAGAAAAAAACAAAAATATATATATATATATATATATATATATATGATTATATATATATAATCATAATCACTTAAACCTTATTTTTAGTGGACACCCATGTTTGAGTAGACGCTCCGTTTATTAAACAGTATATTAGTTTATTTTCGTCTACCGTCTTGAATGTGGAGTGTCTAATCAAATATGGCTATCCACTAAAAATAGCGTTTAAGCGAAAAGATCGATCGGGTTATTGAATAAAACTTCATTACTTCTAATAAACAAAGGTTTTGAACTCGCAAAAGAAGTCCTTTAGACCAACTACGAAACTAAAAAAGAACGTAACATCGAACAAACTCTAGCATATGGCTCAACATATAACAAGAACACTCGAGAACTATTTACAGAAATTATAAAAAATCTAGACCTACTTAGCAAGAATAATAAACTGAAAAATATACTAAAAACGACCAAAATAATTAAAAGCAAACGCCAATCTAAAATCCTAAAACACATATTAACCTCACCTAAATTTAACCAACACACAATACAGGGAGTCACAAAATACAACAAAAAAAGATGTGGGGTTTGTGACATCATTATAGAAAGGGGCTTCTACACTTTTGAAAACCCAAAAACAACATTCATAATAAATAAAAATTTAAACTGCAACTCCTAAAATGTGATTTATGCACTCAAATGCACAAAATACAAAAAGTCATATATAGTTATCAATCAACAACTAAACAACAGGTTCTCCCTACATAAAGCAACATAAAATTACCAGACAACAAAAAAATTTTTGTATCACAACACATCTATAAATGTAACCAAGGTGAATTTAAAATTATGCCAATATTTCAAACAGACAATTATTCTTCCCTACAAATACAAGAAAAAAAAAAACTTCATAAACAAATTTAAACCAGCACTAAATCATAACCCTAGACACAAAAACACACAACATACACACATAATGGCCAAATCCAGTGGTCAAACCACTCGCATGCATGCGCACATACTCACACGCGGGTATATGTGGAGCACAATTATGTATACGGATATTGGCAAAACAATAAGACTGGCCACAAGCACGCGCGCAAATCCTACACAACATAGGAGGTGTATGTCTGTGTATGTATGGATGTATATGTCTGTGTATATGTGTTTGTCTGTGTATATATGTGTATACTAATTCCTTGTAATAAGACAGTATGTATGTATGGAGAGGGAATATACGTATGCGTATGTATGCTAACAAAAACACAAAAATCAAAATAGATCTAAGAACACACAGGGGTCATTAAAAGATAAGAATACAGATATCTTTCCTCACTCTTTCTCGGACCAGTCTTAATTGTTTTATTACCCTTCACGCAGAATTCTTTCACTGCCAGTTCAAGAAAGACATTTGGGTCACTATCATACAAAAAAAGAATGTCTCATATCGAGAATATTTAACATCGAAAAACATAATAAAAAATTTAATTATTTTTAATATGTGGAAATCTCCACGGTTTGCTTGATAAAGGTCGGGAAAAGTGTGAAGCAAAATTATGGAAAATAAAGCATAACATAGTTTTTAAAAATTCACATTACAATCAAAAACGTTTGCTGTTTCGCTCTTCTTTTTAATATACACAATTTTTCTCGTTGGAACTACTATAAACTCTTCCATTTATATATATATATATATATATATATATATATATATATATATATATATATATATATATATATTGTAGCCTAATTTATTAGCAGATATGATAGCTTGAGAGAAATCGTCGAAAGTGTGTGTTTAAAAGCAGTAATTCGAGCTTTGCTTAACCGGAAACTATCTGTGGGTTAACGGTCATAGAATATCATACTAAATGATGGTTCCATATATATATATATATATATATACAAATAAAGTTATAATTTTTTAAAGTGCACACGAAATTTATGGACACCGTGTATATAACAACATTAATTCACTTTCATTTCATATGCCGAATAATTACGGCATATGGGGTCTTACGCAGTTTACCTTTCTTTCCCGAGGTCAGTTTTTAGTATATTTCAGAAGATTTCTCAATTTATAAATTCGAACTCCGCGTGTTTTATCTGTATCGCCGTCGTCAGTAACTGCTCGGCCCCGGGCGCCGAGACCGTCACCCTCTTTCCGTGTTACCTTTCTCTCCTCCCGACCCTGTTGAGCAGTGGCGGAGACAGCTGTTAGTCAAAGAGTTGACGAGGCAATCCGCTTGAATTTGATTTTGGTGGACGACTCTGTGCGAAGAAGTCCATACAACTTTGTAAAGAAGCGCTTCCCTCGCAGCTCAAAGGGATTTGAGACAGTCGTGATCACACAAATCGATTGCCTTCGGCTGACGGATACTTGGTCAGTTAAGGTCTGCCTTGGTTACGCCAGCCCGACTGGCATCGACCTCTTTCGCCGGTTTTGTCATTGAAACGTATCTATCTTTGCCTATCCCGTCGTTGAGGCCTTCGGGGTTTGGTCACGTTCACTCTGGTCTCTCTCCTTCGGCGTTACAACCATGGGTGGTCATATGTTTACTAAATGTAGAAAAATAGGAAAGAACACGTTAGGTAAATAATCCGGAGTTCTTTAGTATTTTTGTTTTTATTTAAAAAAAAAACAACAAAAAAAAAAAAACAGTGCTCCATACAGAAGTAGAGCTTAAATTATAATTATTTAAAAAAAAAATATGATTTCTTCGCTACATAAGATTTCTCATGTTTCAAAAACGAGAGCCGCTGACCTCAATATAATTATTATAATTACATTGAGTTAAAGTATCAAGACCTGTTTCATCCTCAAGCGAAAATTTATATATATATATATATATATATATATATATATATAGAGAGAGAGAGAGAGAGAGAGAGAGAGAGATGTATTTTTAAGGTGTGCTATATTTATGGGATAAAGTGCTCAATATCAGAGATAGAGTGTATGTAAATATAAATATAAAAGTGAAAATTGAAGTCAACACACAGAGGCGACAAGCTGTTTCATGCTAGACGCAATCGTCAGGCTTGACGATTGCGTCTAGCATGAAACAGCCTGTTATATATATATATATATGCGTGTGTGTGTTCACATATAAATTTGTTAATCATCTAAGTCTGCTCACATCGAAATTTGTTTATTGTCTATCTGTTCATATATAAATTTGTTCATTATCTATTTTCATACGCTCACAAAAATATATATATATATATATATATATATGTGTGTGTGTGTGTGTGTGTGTGTGTGAATGTCATTGTCGGATTGCTGATTATATTTGAGGGTGGATTTGACATCCTCTCCGACATATTATGCTCGAGTTTGCACCTCAGCTGCTACCATCAATTTTGAATATTTTTATCCATTTCTCAGAATTTAAGGTCCGCATAATGCCAGATTTTTTATATGTTAATAAGCAAAAAAAAAAAAAAGAAAAAAAAGGAATATAAAACTCAATTTTCAGATTGTCTGTCAGATTGTTTTCTGGAAATAATCTTGTGTATGGCAATCTCGAAAGGCGGACAATTTAAGGTTCCGCTCGGCGCAATTCCGCAATTTCACCTGCCAGTTTTTTTTTGTTTTTTTTTATTGTCTACTTCGCTATCGCGAATGTTCTTATCCCAAGGCACCGCAACGTCTATCAGGTTACATTCACGATTGTTGTTACTCAACCGTGTGATGTCAGGGCGATTACTTTCCAAGCACTTGTCAGTCAAGGCGGTTGCATTCCACATGAACTCCGCTTGCACATTCTCGGCAACTGAGGTTTCGGAACACGCTCTGAGCACGTTTCTGTGCATCTGAGGCCATATTTGCTGCATTGTTCCCAATGTACTTTTTGTGTCATCTGAGTGCAGCTACTGACAGTGTGTTTCACACTTTTAGCATGTTGTAAAGGCCCAAAACAACTACGAAGTACTGTTGTTATTATTATGATTTGCTGCTGATGTTCGACTGTTACGAATTGCATAAAGAACCGGAGGCGATAACCATTCCTCAAACGTTGTTATTTTTAATATTTTTTCTGTGGAATTAGCTTATA